TGGTGAGCCTCAAAAACAGGAAGGCCAGATTAGAGCTTTTTGCCAAACGACATCATAAAAAAGCCTTCACAGTTCTGGTATGTGCAAAATCCTATGGACAGATGATATGAGACCAAAGATCAACGTTTTGTACCAGAGTGATGGATAGAGACGTGTATGGAGAAGGAAAGGAAGCTTTGTTTCCTGAGAATACCACCTCATCAGTGATGCTTCAGTGGTGGTAGTGTCATGGCCACGTGGGCATTTTTTGTATGTTGCAATGAAAAACTTGGTTCTCTTGTATTTATTGTTTTGATGTGATTGGGACAAAAATGCAGGATGTCAATTCTGAAGTGTTTCAGGGCAATTTTATCTGCTGATATTTCAGGCACATAATGCTTCAAGAAATACATTGGACGCGCTTCACAGCCCATGCAGATGGACAATGACACATAAGCATACTGTAAACATTCACCAAAGAGTTTTTTTTAAGGAAAGAAGTAGAATGTTATGCAATGGCCAATAGTCAATCACCTGACCTGAATTTTTTGGAGCACTGCATTTCACTTGCTGAAGACAAAACTGAAGGGAAAATGCCCCCAAGATACAAGCAGGAGGAAGAGAACTGAAGAGAGTTGCAGCAAGAGGCCTAGGCGAGAAGCAATGAAAACCCGAGCGTCTGGTGATGTTTTTCTTTATGCGTTCCATTACTTCAGGTGTTAATTGATTCTGTAAAGGATTTTAACCAATATTTTAAAAAGTGAAAGTTTGATATTTATGATTATTATTCTGTCCCAATTACTTTTGGTCCTTAAAAGTGGGAGGCACATATGTCAACTGTACGGTTGTATGATTCCTACAACGTTCACCTGATTTGATATGTAAATATGACTCAAATTAAACGACAGTTTCGAGGACTTTTACAAGCACATCTTCCTTTGTTTCATTTCAAATCCACATTCACAGTGGTGGGAGGAAAAAGTAACCAAAAATGGTACCCTTGCTTAATGTCGATTCTCCCAAGCTATTTTGGATCCTGGAGTGTTTATGCCAAAATTCGACTCCATATATTAGTTGATGTCCATTTCGGTTTGTTTGACAGCCAGATGTGCCCCTTCTGGACATTTTTGGTTTTGGGTTTTTTAATTTTTTTTTTCTTTTCTTTTTTGCACCCTCTTATTAGCACTGTCTGTGCTTGGATACCATGTTTCGCAGAAAAAATCTTCAGATATTTTAGAACATCAAGTTGAATTGACTTGCATGAAAGGCTGGATTAGCTTAACCCCAAAGTTTGTATTTTATTTAAAGTGATTTTGGGTGTGTTTTGACATGGTAAGAAGGCTAGTGTTTGTTTAAGAAAGTGAGAATGTTTTGTATTTGGCTGTTAAGGTCCTACTTTATTTTCTACGTGCGAAGAGGTGTTAAACCCCTGTATATAACCTAGTTCTAGGATCCAGCGGTCTTCCACAGACACAAAGGAACCAATCTTACAGATGACCTCATGAACCTTAACAGGCATGCAAAGTACAATGTAATTTATGATAACCACTAAACAGCTCTTCCACTCCCTCATCATAACACGACTCGATTACTGCAACTCCCTTCTTACTGGGCCTGCCTCGCCGCTGGGTATCCCCGCTTCAGTCGGTCCTTGAATACGGCAGCCAGGACTCATTCACCTTTCCAACCGCGTCTGTTTACGCCATCCCCCTCTGCAATCCCTCCACAGTCTTCCGATTGCGCATACGGTCAACATTCAAAATCTAACACAGACGTACAAAGCTGTCCACCTTTTTTGTACTTGCCCTCGAATTACATCACTGACCTAATGTATCCAAGAGTACCACCCAACACGCACACTCCGCTCCTCACAAGACCTCCTTCCCCTCTAGTTCCCTGGGTCTTTTTTCCCATGGCCACCTTCCGGGGAGCTTTCATCCATGGGGGGTCTGCTTATCCTGCTGAACTCCTGCCCTTGGACACCACCATTGATTATAATTTGATTCCTCTCCTGGAATTAGGCGCACCCTGAAAACATCTTTTTTAGGGAAGCCTACGACCACCCCCTGCTAACCGCCAACCTCATTCCACTCTTCCTACCACTCCATCCCCCACGCTATTCCTGGCAACTGTGCCACCTTCCCAAAGCCTCCTTAGATTTGTCATGGCTCTGAAAAGCAATGGGCCCGGCAATTTTTCCCCTCATATATTTTGATTGTTTATTTGCTATTTTTCTGTCACATGTTCTGTCCCCCGTTTTGTAATGTACAGCGCTGAGCGAACTATCGGCGCTTTATAAATACTGTATAATAATAATCCTGCAATGGCGATTTATACACTTTGTGGACACAACAGGCTTACTTTAACTACAGGGCTCTGGTATTATATTTGATATTGTATAAGCCCATGTTTAGCAATTGGAAGGCAGTTTGATTTGGTACTAAGAGGTGCTGAGAATCTTCACATATAAGCAGCGATTATTCACAGACTTACTAACGTGTCCAAAATCATGTAGACTCGTTTAACCACTGTGATTACAGCCCCATAGCAGATGTACTGCTACAGGGTGGCCGCGTTGTGCAAAATCACATAATTATACGTGATTTTGCATTTCCAGGTAGGTGGTGCACGTGTGTTGCCACTCTACCCACGCTACAATTGGTTCCTGAGATTGTCAGTGACTCGGTGATCTTCGGTGAAGCTAAGAGGGGAGATATCTGTGTGTAAACAACACAGATCTCTCTCCTGTCAGCATGGATGTGCTGCTTCCTATCTCTCTGCACAGCAGAGAGATAGAAAAGCAGCAGGTTCCCCTTAATAAAAACACACTTTTCAAAGCAAAACATAAACAGCATACAGTTAACCCTTTGATTGCCCCAGATGTTAACCCTATCCTGCCCAGTGTCATTAGTACAGTGTAAGTGCTTTTTATTAGCAATGATCACTGTATTAGTGTCACTGGGGATGTCAGTGGCAGTTAGTTCCCACCCAGTGTCAGAATGCCCGCCGCAGTCCTGCTATAAGTCGTTGATCGCCGCCATAACTAGTATAAAAAAATAAATAAATACAAATTTCAGTATGTAGACGCTATAAACGTTCACATAAACCAAATAGTATACATATATTGGGATTTTTTTTTTTTTTTAGCAAAGACGTAGCAGAATACATATTAGCCTAAATATATGAAGGAGCTTTATTTTTTTCAATTGGATATGTTTAATAGTAAAAAATATAGGGTTTTTTTTCAAAATTGTTAGTATTTTTTTGTTTATAGTGCAAAAAATTAAAAACACAGAGAGGTGAACAAATACCACCAAAAGAAAGCACTATTTGTGGGAAAAAAATGACATACATTTCATTTATGTACAGTGTTGCATGACCGCGCAATTGTCAGCTAAAGTAACACAGCGCCATATCACAAAACATTTCTGGTCATGAAGGGGGGTAAATCTTCTGTGGTTATGTGAAATAGAATTTGCTTTTCACTTAATTGGATAATTGAAGTGAATATTTTTACAATTTGTGGAAATCTTCTCAACTTCTTTAGTAAATTGTCCTAATTGTATATGGTCAGTCAGTTACCAGGACAGGAAATGTCAAAGTGGAACTACATTGTATCTAAGCACTACAAACTTAAAGTGCTGAACTCACTACCCCAATCCATCAGACTGTCACCTACCCTCCTCACCTTTAGGCGCACCCTGAAAACCCATCTCTTCAGGGAAGCCTACCCCACCCTCACCTAACAGCCGATCTCTCCACTCTTCCTACCCCTCCATCCCCCACAGCCACTTCCTCCTGTGCCACTATCCCCTCCCTCCTAGATTGTAAGCTCGAAAGAGCAGGGCCCTCGAACCCCTCGTGTATTGTATTGTACTGTATTGTCTCATGTACTGTCCCCCACTATAATGTACAGCGCTGAGCAAACCTTTTGGCGCTATATAAATACTGTATAATAATAATAATTTAATTCATTTTTATTTTTCCAGGCAAATTCCCCCATCCACCCATGTCTCCATGTTTTATTTTGCTTAGAAATCACATTGTAAAACACCCTTAGCATTTCTGGCTGTGGCCATCTTGAGCAAGGGCAGATGATTCATGTATCATTTCCTTCCTTGAATCCATCTACCCATAGATCAGGCAGGAGGGTGTGCTTAGCAGAGAGAATCCATCCCCCCTCCTGAAGACTCCTGGGATACATGACATCATTTGCCTAGGCATGGAAACAAGGAAGTAAAGAATGTAAAACATTTTTAAAAAAAAAAGTAAATATGAGATACCTTCCTGTCTGTTTACTAATGCTAGCAGCATAAGGATTAAAAATAGTCAATGTTGATATAGAGAGTGAAGTTCCACTTTAAGTTGAAGTGTCAGATTCAAATATACGGAAAAAAAAGAGGACAACAATAAGACAGCATGCACACAGCCATATAGGGGCTATACGGCACTAAGAGCCTTCATAATCACTTTTCTGGGGCCCTCAGCTGCTGAGTACAGCCATCCATTGAGATAAATGAAAAGATAGGGCTGCATGTAGTTATGCACCAGGGATTGTGTATTGCACCTGCATGTATATGGCTGTATGCTCTGAAAACTCTAATTCATCTCAATGGGCCTCTATGCAGCAGCTGCAAGTCCATGGAAAGTGATTACACAGGCTCTGCACACTATACGGCATGTACATGTGGCCTAAGTCATTCATAAATATGACAAATTTGCAATTTTATTAAAGCCTGAAGATTTTACATTCAAGTGTTCAGGTAGAGGAATTGTAGGATGTTTCCTTGGATTTTTAATATATTCTATCTAATTGTTTACCTGGTGCACTGTTTCTGATTTGATGTTGTTTATTCTATTATTTTGACTGATAATTCATAGAAATTATTTTAATTTTATGTTACATAATAATGCACTAAATGTGTAGACAAAATGTGCAGAATTGCAGATTACTCTGAATCAGGCCTATTAGAGGTATGAATTTGATGATGATAATTTTGACCTTCTATGTACCATTTTTAGGTCCTCTGGCTTTGTTTTATGTTCTTTGTGGATATGTCTCTGGACCTCTCCATCACGGGACATCGTACCTCATTTCCTCCAAGAAAGGCTAGAAGTGTATATAGATTTAAAGCTGCTAATTCCTTTATGGATGAGACCCTCTTTGGCAGCTTTGGGGGCAAAGTAGATCCAGCCCTTCAGTGGACCACAGGTTCTCCAGGTCAAGTATCATTTTCATGGCACCCAGAAGCGGAAAAGGAATCTAAAGTTCGTACCATTAGCAGGACTAGCTGCACCCCGCCAGGGACACCACGAAAGAAAATACATTATAGGTAGGCATTGCCCCTTCAATGTAATAATCTACAGAGCAAGAAACATTGTGATAGCAAGAATTTGTCTCTTTAGGATTTAGGAAATATATGGCTACTAGTGGTTACCTAAAAGTTTTGATATCATAATAGCTCCTAGTACTGCCTTATTAGCTGTGTAGAAGGCAGAAAATAAATGTCTACAATGGGGGGCCAATATGGTTTGTTATAACTTGGACTATACTGGGCACCTTCTCCTTTTCAACAACCAGTTCCCAAGACAACAACTAGGTGCTTCTCATTGTAACTGTTTCAGAGCAACAGGGCTTCAACTGCAGTAGTTCAAAAGATCAAGATAGAAATATGAAAACTGCTATTGCTGAAACAGAGGCTTAGGGCTCTCGGCTTCCCGTGTGTGCGTAATAGATGCAGTCAGGGAATTAAAGGGCAGCAATTGTCAGATTTCAATTGATGTCTGACCCTCTGAAACTCCAAGTACAGGCTAAGACTGAAAATCCAAAGCCTCCTTGTGTTTTGCCCTCTGCCTACACTTATGGAGATCTGCTCTGAAGCTGGAGTTCCACTGTAAGCACTTATGGTTGGCTGTTTTTACTGAGCGCAGTACAAACCTCTCAATGTGACCCATTAGGATTTTGTAAACGGTGGCTAGTTAAACTGACAAGTGCCTTTGAAGGGGAGACGTTCACCTTCTCCTAGATAAAATAAGTTAAAAAGGGGAAATGTAAATATTTCAGAATTTTGCATAGATATAATAATTAAAGGTTGAATGCTAAAACAACAGTTTGGAATGGGGCTGGCAATCAATATGAGCACTAATGTATGTTTGCCTTTTATTGTATTTCCCTTTTATTCAGAGTAAAGAGCCGCTCACCATCATATTGTGATGAGTCACTGTTTGGGCCAAAGGTGGAAGAATGTAGTTGGGAAGCACCATGGGTAAAAAAAGAAGATACTGTCCGAATTCGTCCCCTACTCTGGAGCCCACCTCCAGTAGTATGGCCACAGAGCTCCAAGCCAAATACCAAACAAATTCCACTCAAGGCTGTACACCCTCAAGATAATGGAAGCAGATCTTTAGAGACACAGAAGATGAAAGGAGACTTCTGGAAACCACCAGACAGTGACTCTGATTCTGGAGGATGCCCCTCTGTGGCAGGTCCTTCACCCAGTGCAAAGGGTCGCTGTAGCTCATCTGAAAAGAACACCATTCGATCTGCAAGCTGCTCAGGGAGACTTACTGCTAGGAGAGGTTCAATTACAGAACGACCACCATGGAAATGATGTTAATTTTATATTTAATTGTCTGGTTTGAATTTATGTATATAGCAAGATGTACTGTATGTATGAACAACTTTTCAGCTAGTCGATAAAAGTTAGCAGAAATGAATGGGCGAGGAGTCATTAGAATTTGTTAAAGTGTAAGTTTTGGCAGATATAATACCATTATTATTATTTAAAAAAAAATACTTAAATGTATTTTGAATAGTACCTCAACCTGTCATTGTACATCAGCTTTCAGACTGGTAAAGGAAGGGACAGCTTTGTAAGCCAATCAGGCTTTAACATATTGCAAAGGGCTGCAAAAAAAAATGGAATGTGCTGATTGGAGCAGTGCAGTACAGCTGCTGTTCTTGCTGTATTTAGTTGCAGTTGATCCAATTGCATTGCCTTGAGAGGAGAAAAAAATAGTTTAATTTCATATAGATAAAAAGTTGAACGGGACTACAGTTTTTTCAGCAGGCAAGACAGTTCACACATAAGCATTTCTGCTTTGTGTTTAACTGTATGCCTACACTTACACTTTAAAGTGTGTATGTGGTTTTATAGCAAAGGACATGCAAAAAATCGAAAAGGTAGATGAAATATCCCCCAATCCCATTTTCTAAAATGATTAGTTTGCTTTTTTTATTAACATTCACATTATTCACTAGGACACATATAAGCATAACTAAGTCACATTATTGTTCTAGACACAAAGTACCACTGGTTCATATAACTAAAGCCAAGGGAAAAAAATACATTTCTCTAGCTACCAGGAACATTGTGGGACCTTTTTTGCTGCCTTCTAGTGAAAACCCACACATACGCTTTAAGCTGTTTATTTCTCCAAAAATGTTAAAATGGCTAGTTCACCATTTAAATGTATTTATTGCTAAATTGTTTTATTATTTCTTAGATACTGTGTATATTTTAATGTTTTATCCCTGTTCGGCTGTTTCCCTTCACTTTCTACCCTAAAGACAGAACAGGAAGTGAGAAGAAATCTCTACAAAGGAAATTGCCACTTATAAAGTTGTCACTGGAACAGGTGTCCCAATTTGAAGTATTTCCTCTATTCTTGTTCTGGTGACAACTGTAAAACTGGATTTCCATCAGTCTCTGTCCTGGTGGGACTGAAATGGCAGTACCTGATAGAGGTCATAAGCTCTAATCCAGGGTTCCATGGAACCCTAGGGTTTCTCTAGAGATTGCTAGGGTTCCTTGAGCAATGAGGCGTTGATGTTTTTAGCTATCTGTCAGGGTGTAATTGTTCCCAATGAACACAAGCATAAGGAGCATTGTTCCCACTGACCATTACACTAATGTATAATGAGTTGTAGATATAGTAATTTTTTGTCGGGTTCCCTGAAATTGGAAGGTTATTTCAAGGGTTCCCCTGTGTTGAAAAGGTTGAGAAAGGCTTCTCTAATCACTTAACAGGTGAAGGTATCGGTTTGGAAGGGTGCTGCTAAGGAATAAAAGGTACTGTTTTTCAGTACTACAGAATGATGATGATTATCCTTGTGCCTCTTTTCACTGGCATAGTCAAATCTTGAATCATAACTTATCAAGAAATCTCATATAGCAGCAAATACAGTAAGTTCCTATTAAATGTTGTTCAGTGAGTATGACTAAATTTAAATAATTAGGTTTGAGCTTTTTTTTTTTTTTTTTGCTAGCTTATGTAAACAAGAGCAAATATCATATTTAAGTTGTGCCTCTGCTTTTTTTAAAAAGAGTAAAAACCTGTTTATACACACTGTATTGCATCTATCACTTTCTAGCATGAGGACTCTTGCCTTGTTTTTGGAAATTATTGCAGAGGTGTAACCCATTTTGTCAATTCTCCAGTCAGTGTTGATGGGAGAATGACTTCCGCAGCTCTATTGTATTCTGCCAGCAGGGAAGGAGGGGGGGTCGTTGGTGGTTGAGCTTTCCCTGCTGGCAGAATACAATTACTGCCAGTGGCTATAGCCACAGGCAGTAATCGAATGCTAAAAATCTAACAGGCTGGTTGTACTCAAGTTGATTAATGGATCGACTTGGGTACAATCAGCCTGCCCATAGGTGGATGAGATCTTGGCTGGTCCCTGCTTAACTGGCCTAGATCCGATCCATCTGTGGCCAGCTTTTAATTCTAGTAGAATAGTTATTTGTGAGCCACCAGGAGTTAACTTACTCTATTATTAGTGTTAATTTGTGTGCTTAAGTGAATATTAATTAAATATTGGATCGCCAGGTACTAATTACACCCTCTCTAGGTGTATGAAATTAAACTATGAATTCTTATACTGTACCGCGCTTCCAATATTATCAACCTTTTGTGATTAACCTTTTTTGGTTGTGTGAATTTCTTAATATACCACCTATAATCCAATCATTACTTACTTCTATGGTGCTTAAATATACAATTAACATAAATTTAATTTATAAATATGAATTAGAAAATTATATGTGATTATAACAAATATTAATAAAAAATTAATGAAAAATTGGAATGTCAATTCTATGTGAATAAAATAATAACAAATTAATAAAACATAAAAAAAAAAAAAAAAAAAAAAAAAGAAATGTCAATTATTTTCTTTGAATTTGAGATGGTGTTGTTATTCAATTTAGTTAATGTGATAAGTCTGTGTTGGCAGCTTGAACCTCTCCCTCGTTCCTCTCTTTGTGCTTTCTTCACTGGCTGCTTTGTTTATTCCTCCATATACGGAACATGCAGAGAAGGGAAAAGAAACATAGTGTCTTATCCGGGATATAAGTGATTTATTGCTCTTTGATCTCCCACTCACATTGTGTAAATGTAAATAACGCTTTGAATACAATGTAACAAGATCCTGCTTCAGACAGCCTGGCTGATGTGTTTGCTTGCAGTAAATATACTCGCCGTTCCTCTGTGGATGCGTGATAACGTCACCGCCCCTCCCCTGGGGGAGGGGCGGTGACGTTATCACGCATCCACAGAGGAACGGCGAGTATATTTACTGCAAGCAAACACATCAGCCAGGCTGTCTGAAGCAGGATCTTGTTACATTGTATTCAAAGCGTTATTTACATTTACACAATGTGAGTGGGAGATCAAAGAGCAATAAATCACTTATATCCCGGATAAGACACTATGTTTCTTTTCCCTTCTCTGCATGTTCCGTATATGGAGGAATAAACAAAGCAGCCAGTGAAGAAAGCACACAAGAGAGGAGACGAGGGAGAGGTTCAAGCTGCCAACACAGACTTATCACATTAACTAAATTGAATAACAACACCATCTCAAATTCAAAGAAAATAATTGACATTTCCCTTTTTTTTTTTTTTTTTTTTTTTTTTTTTTTTTTTTTTTTTTTTTTTTTTTATTAATTTGTTATTATTTTATTCACATAGAATTGACATTCCAATTTTTCATTAATTTTTTATTAATATTTGTTATAATCACATATAATTTTCTAATTCATATTTATAAATTAATTTATGTTAATTGTATATTTAAGCACCATAGAAGTAAGTAATGATTGGATTATAGGTGGTATATTAAGAAATTCACACAACCAAAAAAGGTTAATCACAAAAGGTTGATAATATTGGAGCGCGGTACAGTATAAGAATTCACAGCTTTAATTCTACTGCTCTGCTACTTGACCCAAAACATGCTGTCAAAATATTATAAATTAAAAAAAAAAAAACAGGTTTCCACATATTAGCAGTATTCTCCCTCATCATACTGTTTTACCTAAAATAAACCTGTCAGCCATTATAAAACTTGCACAAGTCTTAGCAAAGAGCAGAAACCACAGTATACCTACTTGTTCTAGGGGGCTCATAGAGGGCTTTATGTCGTGAAAAGCAATCGCAACAACTAGGATTTATATAAATATGGGAGAAATTCTTAATAATGACTAACTCCCACTGAAGTGCAATCTCAGAATTTTATTACCCTTTTCAATTGAATGGTAATAGTCCATGTGAATTGGAGAAAGCTGTACATGAAATAACTGTTGAAAGTATTATGTGTGCATGTGTGTAAAAAAGATTTTTTTCATTTTGGTTTGTAATTGTGCCTTGTCATTGAAGGAAAAAAGGGTGTGCCTTGCTTGCTAGTGTCCTTTTGTTGGAATGTGTGCCTCAGTATAAATTCTATAGACTCCTTGTATATTATTATGAAAAAGGAGATATGTGTTTTAAACAATTTATTCTGGTATTTATTTTGTGAGTGCTTTTCATCTAAATTCCAATGAGGTTTGTATTCTCTAAAAAAGTGTTCTCTCTATTTTGATGTCACATCTTTTATTTATGTACTGTCATTACCTTTGTAATAAATAATCAGTGATTGACAGAATCATGAGCTGGAGTCCATAGTCTTGAGTCTATAGTCCATATCCCAATCAATCAGTAATAATGGAACCAGCAAGAATAGAAATATGGGAACTGTCACTGCCAGCTTGTTTTGAGAGATGCATGATCTCAGGCTGTCTATCAGGAACTAAATCTGCGTCTTGAACTGGGGTTTCCCACAGCCTGGATCATGGCTTACCTGGTCTGTCACTGCGACCTTTCATTTTTTGTTTTTGTTGTAGTTGTACTGAATAGGGATGAGCTCAGGAGTGTTAGGATCCTATTTCGAACTCCACTTCCCTGAGATTTCCCACCAGAAAACCATCAACTGCAATGCCTCAGCTGTTTATTATTGGTGGTGCACAGTGACAGCTTCCTGGTGGGATAGCTTAGGCAGGTTCATACTAGGATCTGAACGTGCCTCAGCTCATCACTGGTGCTAAATGTAATTGCACAAGTCTCACTTTTATTTGATCTTGTGACCAATCTATTTTAGTTCACCCTTTTTCCATGCCAAATGACTGTGATACATGCATTAATTCTGCCTGCTGTTTCTACTTTATTTTTTTTTTCAAATTCTTTATTTATATAGACAGCGCCACAGTCACAGAACAGTACAAAACATCACCAGTATAAATATATAAAAAAGAAAGGGGTAGCATCCCCTACGTATAAAAGTCACAGTAGAATAG